AAAGAAAGGATTCAAGGGTTCCCTATGTACACATTGATTTCGGTTAGGAGAATAAAGTACTCAACTATATTTTTATTTAATACTACCTGTACATATATGCGATGGAATGCCACAAAGAAAAAAACAAGTTGTCTTTTACTCGCCTTTTCGGTTGTAAACAACTTTGTTGAAACAAATGACAGCCACATAGTGGAGAAGTTCATCTGCAAAAGAATCGCCTTTTTGATTGTAGACAGATTTGTTAAAACAAATGAAAGCCACCTAGTGGAGAATAGCATCAGCAATAAACCGCTTTTTCGGTTGTGGTCAGATATTTTTAAAATAAAAAAGTGACGTAGTGGAGAAATACATCTGCACTTGAACAGCCCTTTCGGTTGTAGACAGATTTGTTGAAAGTTTGAAACAAATGAAAGCCACATAGTGGAGAAGTGCATCTGCAAAAGAATCGCCTTTATGGATTTAGTGGCGAAGCTGCAGAGCGTTCAACGCCGCCGTAAAGCTGCCCGTTTATCGGTATTCTACAAGATATATCATGTGGAGTGTGCGATGGAATTGCACGATTTAATTCCGCCTTCTTCTTTCCATCACCGGGGGGGCTGAACGTAGGCTTGGGTTCCACCCCTATGTGGTGGATATTCGAAGGATTCGCACGAAGCGTTATATTTCTACATTTAAACTGCAAACGCAATGGAGTGGAATTCCCTGCCTGCAGGCTTATTCCTTGTACGCTATAACTTGGGCCTTTTCAAGGCGAAAGTGAATAACCATTATTTAGGTATGCATGGTCCACAGTCGTCCTCATCGTCACTTTCCATCAGAAGAAATGGAGATCATATTACGCACATACATTTTATAAAAAGACACTTTTTTTAAAACAACTGGCCCACCTGATACGTTAAAATGTTTTTAATTGTTTTGCACGCCCACACCCGCACAACACACGAAAGGTCTATCGCAATTGGATTACAATAATGGAACGCATACGGGACAAACATACAAACGTTCATTTTCAATTTAAGTAGGTGTGTAGTAATTTGTCTGGCGGTGAGCAACACGCCTGCCTTTTCGTCCCGGTACTTGGTATCATAAAAAACCTGCATTAGTTTCATCTTTGATCTGCGAAAGTACGGCCGCATCTTTGCTTTTCATCTCGTTAGAATTTTGACCATTTTCTTCATTTTATTCGACCCGACTGCATCTGATTAACTTATTGTACATTTCAATTTCAAACCGCTCGTCCAGGATGCGACCTTCGCTCTTCCCGTAGCCCTAAACTTTCTATTCCTTCTCACAGTACTGGTTTTTTGGCTAATTTTCTTATAGAGATTTTTTTCGTATCGCACACACTCAAAATAGACCCGCACTAGGGAAACCCTATGTCGCGGGTGCCATGGACACACACCTAAACAACCACAAATTATACCCAAACTCACGAGAGAAATAAATGTCGACCATACATATATTTCTCTCGGCCCGGGAATCGAACCTGGGACCTCTGCGTGGCAGTTCGGCATGGTAACCGTTCGGCCACAGTGGCAATTTGGCACGGAGGCAGAATGCCTAAGTCCGCCATTTCATATTTATTGTATTGTGCAAAAAATGGAAATAAAAAAATAAAACTATGATCATTATAAGTGTGCATTCTCTATTGTCCACTAGGTACACCAATTTTCTAACCAATATCTACGCAACAAATTGCTTTCGATAGATCTACCTAGATATCGCTTGCCCAAATAAAGGTTAGATAAAGCAGGTATAATTGTATTTACTACGTCACAATTTTGTTTTATAACTTTGCCTGGTGGTATAAAACATTTTTGCTTGCTCTAGTTTTGTAGATTTATATCAGTCGATGTAATAAATTATTTAACAAAATAATTCTTCTTTTTCTTTATAAGGCTGCACAAGGGCTAAGTAAGGCCCTTTTTAGGACCATTTATTTCGACTCTACTTGATAAATGTGATGAATTTACGCTCGCGAGCGTAAATAACTCAACGCGCATTTTAATGAGAAAATGGTTCTCGCATTATACGCAAGATACTTTATCCTTTATAAATAATAAGGGAAAATAATCTTTCCGAGTTAAGAGTTTAAGACAAAATTCATTTGAAGTAAATTATAAAACAATATTTTTTTATTGTAAAATTAAATTATTTTTATTATTCAATTGTCAAACTTGTTATAGAGCTATATTTAGTTATTGAGATAATATTTCGATACATACAATAAATAAATACAAATGTTAATACCATATAATACCGTGCCTTACTACTGAAATCCGCCTAAACGAACAGTGCACATGTGTACTCGATTAAACCTTTAAGATGTTTAGTATATTCCTAATTTAGTCTTGTCTAACCTAGTGTAAGCTAAATATTGGAGATACAAATTTATAATATCACAGTACTTTATTTGTTATTTTAATACGTAAGTATGATCAGTCAGGGTGTTTTAAGAAATTGGCGCCAAAAAGGGACTTATTCTGCATATCAAAAGCAGCAACTTTTGCAAATACGCCTTCAATATTATATCCATAAGTAATAAGAATTCAGAAACTAATTACAGAACTCGGAGGAATGTTGACTTAAGTGTTCATATAGGTAACTTTTTTTTCAAGAATTTGCTGAAATCTTAGAAGAAATGTACACAATAAGGTTGAACGTCATAAAAGTCTGTCAAATAAAGATAACCCCTTTCCTAAAATAAACGGAATGACAAAAATTCCATGACTGCACTGCTGAGGAACGCAGCTACGAACGGACGCTACGGCGTGATACGGCTACAAACCTCTGTGGTTACGTAACTAAAACATTTCGCCGTCGCTACAGACCAATCCCAAAATTCTGCAGTATGTCATTATATTGTAAGTTTAAAGTTAATAAAACTTACCTTGTTCATACCATTCCCCATCTTTGCGTTTATCAAATTATTAATTACCCACCAAAATTATTGTCGTCACAAATAACATTACAACAAGACAACACTCAACGTTTAATAAACTTGTTTATTAAAATAAAAGGCATTGTAAAACTGTCAAACTGTCAACAGGGTCGCGTCACTATGGCTACATTGTTGACGCCGGTGTGCGGTAGAACCACGCGATTCCATCAATATGAAATCGGTTACATAAAAATATTCGATATCTATGTTACAAGCACGTGGTTGGTATTTTTACGCGGTGTGCTCAGAAAGGTTTGATTATCTGAGTAGTTTTATGTTATCGATCGTTTTTTGCGAGTGGTTTCGTGCGGTTGTATGTTGTGAATACGAATGAGGAGAAGTCGTGCGGCATCCTCAAGCCGCGGCGCGCCACTGGCGACGACGCGACGTCACTGCGTCTATAAAACACTGTAGTGATGCCCACTGCTCGATACGACACGGTTTGAATATCGATAAAGTGACATTGACTTTTTGCAATAACCGCATTGATATGTATTATTCATCTTATCATTAAAAACGTTGCTGTATGCAACGTTGATGTATGTTGCAAAAGCAATGAAGATTTTAATGTTATTTCATATAAATCACTCCAACGAGATAATTTTAAATATGTAACACTGACACAAAGACTTAGATGCAAATAAATTGATTTGTGACACTGACAAACGCCAGTGCCGTTATATTAGAGAGTACACGATATTAATGACGTCTTCAAACAAAATTTAACGCCGGTAAATTCTCGCGTACTTCCAGCAACATTTGTTTCTTTTCTAGCCCACAACACCCAAACCTTACGATTTCTACTACATAAAATGTTTGCAACACGAGCGGTCATATGAGAATCACGCCTCACACAATATGAGAATCACCACTTTGCCTGTGTAGATCCTACTTACGATTTTTTATTTCAATTATAGCAATAAATATTACAGTTCCCGCATCTAAATATTTATAATAGTGGATGATATATAAATCAATAACAATCAATTTAATTAAAACTTAACTAAGTAACAACTAGCACGACGTCTCATTAGTATTACAAGTAGCGTTCTGTCGTCGTTCATAATATAATGTTTTTATATTTTGATCAAACCTTATTAGCTAAGCTCTGCATAATATATGTGTTGTATTGGCTATCTATCCTAAATAAATAAATAAAATAGTATCTTTCCCAGAAATTTCAAGACAACACACGTGTTATGTCGCCGTTTATCGATGTTTCTGAAGTAGGTGATACATCACTAGAAAGTAGTTGGATAAGCGCGATTCAAAGGGATTCGTAAGGACACCCCAGCGGGCACTACAGCCTTATCGCGAGCTCTGTTGAAAGAAAGTGACCTTTTATTGCCGTGCGCTTTAATAACGTTGGCTAAAAGATTAAAATTATTAAACTATTTGGGGATTGACTATTTGGGCTAGTTAAATCGAATTGAAATGTATAGGTTCCGCTAGGATAGTTAATGTATTCAATTACAATACGATACGTCTGTTGACTGGCAATCGCACATTGTAAGGTAATATTATCCGAAACTATCTATCACAATAATCTCAGTACAGTTACACATAAATAATATATACATTTTATATATATAAATATAGTTTTCACATATAAAATTTTTTCACATCGGAGTTTTCATTTGTTGGATTTTTTCCATTTTGTAGGCTTGCTTTCACCATTTGTAGGCTTGAGTTATATTATATATCTCTTCCATTCCTTCAGAGATTTCTCAAATAGAAATACTATTCTTCTCGTTTCGTTGATTTAGTACTAGAGACGTTCCTGACGTTTCGTTTACTACGCCCATGTGAGCGCGCGCCCTGATACTGACCTTCCAGTGAACCTCAAAGTTTACCGTCTGAATATCCCCGTACACAATATGCAAAAGGTTTAGCTCTCTATCGAAGTTTCCCTATCGAGCATGGTACTACCATAGAAAATTCAGCCAGAACACTACGAAATGAAAAAAAGTGTTTAAAGCATTGACTTACAAATAAATGGACGACGGGTCTAATACGAAAACCACGAAAAAAGTGTCCCAAGTCAACCTATTCGAAATTTAAATTGTAATGTCATCGCAGTATCGCGCTGTCAGTAGAACAAATGAAGACTAAAGCGGAGTGTCGCGCTCTGTATACGATTTTAGCGCCTTACAAGTGCGGACACTTTTTAGCGCGGACCCGACGTCCATATAATTGTAAGTCAATGGTTTAAAGCCGAAAACTTAAGAGCTCTCATGCTAAAAAAGTTTTGACGTTGGCTACGCCCAAATTTGTAAAACAAATATATATATGCCTGAAGTTCGCGTGACATGCGACAGGAGATGTTGAATTTTGCGCATTAAAAGTACCAAATCTGGCATTTCGAGGATAAATCGAAAAAATGTGAAAATTAGAGATTAATATAAGATTACTCATACAATATTTTATTTTTAACTTTAAAGTGGATATACCCCTATAAAATCAAATCGAAGATTAGGAATTTTTTCTCTGCGCCCTCTTAATGCAAAAATCTATAACAAATACATAGACGAAATCCGTCGACTTGGTAACCCGACCTGTATGTAGCTTAGTTGGTAAAGCAATGGAGACGTAATCCCGTGATCGCAAATTGGACACCTGTCGGATCGAAGGATTTTTTGTATGTGTTCGATCTATGAGAAACAAAAATAATATTTTTGCAAGTTTTAGAAGCGATTTGTTCTTTCCACGTGGCAGCACTCCGTTTAATGAAGTATAATAAACATTTCGTCTATGTATACAGACGAACACAAAAAGACACGGGAGCAAAAGTTTCGGTTCTACCGATCGCCTCTCACAAAGCGAGTGTAGCCAACGAAGCAGACTATAAATCTAAAATTGCGTCTCAAGTATTCCAATGTCTCAGGTATTCAAAATCAGGTACTTATTACAAAATTCCATGATTTGCGCCGATTTTCTAACAAAAGATCTATTTATTAGTCGACATGCAACGCTGTTTATGTGACAAAATCACCAAACTCCGCATAACTACTAGTCACGTTTTATTACTTTACTACCAACTATGCAATAATAAATTTCGAATAACGACACCCGTGCTGCCTTGATTTTATTAGCACGGGTTTTAAATACGTTTAAACCATTTATTTTCGCACACATAACAAAAAAAACTTACTGAATTGAGAAAGGCATATTTTTTATACAATTTACAGAAATAATAAAATAATAATTTTTCTTACCTAAAAAAGTAATATTTGTTTATCGGATTCATCAAGGATAGAAGTACCTATTTGTAAGGGAATTGTATGATTAGAACTATACATAATAATTAACAGTAATATAAATAAAATCTCAATAAAAATTATTAAATTAAAATAGAAAGGATAATGGATGTGTGTGACGGACATGAGTTCAGGAAAATGTTGAAATCAGTTTGCAATGATGTCAACCTTGATTGATTTCAGACCGACCCGGCCATGGCAGCTCTACGTGCTACGTGCTCTACTACTACACACATAAATCGCAAAAAAAATCAATTGAAGATAAAATTATTGATGAAAATACTAATAATAATGATAATAATGAAATTATAATAACCCTACCAAGAAAACACTGTCCTCACTCTATCCAGAAACACGACCCTACCCAACATTGCAGCATAGTCGATTCCGAAAGCTATTTACGGGCTTAGCCAGCACGACATCATATGCCACTAAAAAAAATATGTGACTGTCAATGGACAAGGGTGTGACGGTGTGACCTCCTTACACCGTCATCTCACCTCTTTGTATCGCCTCTCTCCGCTTGTATCCTATAATTTTTTTGTATTTAAATTTTAAATGTTCCTTCTTCTTCTTCATCTTCCTTCACTTTCTCATTTTGTTTTCGTACCACAGTCACTCCCAGCTCGACCGCCACAACAGTCGGAGCTATTTCAAATTCCATCGCGAATAACCGCTAATTCTGGTTCTTTACTACGTTTATAATCATTTAATAAGCTAAATCATGTGTAATAATTTATAAGTCTACAGCCTTCATGTACCTATATCTGTAATTCAGTTACTCGGCCCATTTAGGGGTAAGTGCCTTAATAATAAAGTGTAGGGAGTGTTTTATACTGTTGTACCTGTTTTTTTACATTTACCTTTTTATTCTTACAGCCCTTTCTTTAAACTCTACTTATTTATAATAAATTTTGTGGACCGGAAGTTTCCCGTTTCATTGCCGTGAACCTGTTCACGGCTAGTTAGGGTTACAACCCTTTCAAGGGTAAGCAATTGGGACCACTGAAGAGCATCATTAAAGGTAGCCATTAGATATAGATTTCTTACCTAAAAAAAGAATAATATATGTTTATCGGACGTATCAAGGATAGAAGTACCTATTTGTAGGGGAATTGTATGATTAGAACGGCACATAATCAGGAACGGAAGCGCGACTTCGATTCATGATCAATCCATCATACGTCCCACTGCTGGGCAGGGGTCTACTATGGAGAGGATATACTTTCCCACGCTAGCCCTGCGTTTTTGTTTTTGAAGGATTGTGTGCCATCTTCGGCGTGCACTTTTCCATGCTGTTTTCTTCCACCGTTATCGAGAGGTATTGCTATATAATATTCACAAATGTACGTAGCTGAGAAATTACAGTGATTGGTACACATGTAGGTACATGTCGGCCTCGGGGATTCAAGCCGTCGTCATCGGTCTCAATTAAAGTAAAAATTATAAATATCCAGCGTCTTTACGAGTATTAATCTGTTCCCCGATCACGTACCTACAAGTAACAGCAAAAGTTATGTATGACTCTATTACGGATTACATACCTATTGTATGTACTTTCTAAACGAAAAGTATCAAATGTAACATTGTGTTAGCTTCGCTATCAGTGGATTCGCTATCGCGGTGGCGCTACCAGTGGGTAGCGCCGCCGACACTCATACATGAAGTCATCGTTCATAATCATAATTGATTCATTCATAGTTACAATTACAATTATGAAATCATGGTAAATAAAATTATAGATAAATAATTATGTAATTTCTCACGATCCTAGAATTAGAAATTATTCATTTAAAATAATTATACAACGCCACGTAGTTTCAAGTACCAAATTAATACTTCCTCCTAAAATTTATGTTCTTGTTTAGAACTGATTGATATCTTGATGATAGTTTTATGCTGTGTTCGATTTATTATTAATTCCAAATAGATTTCCAATACGTAGTTTCTCGTCTCTGTACTAAAATTTAGAATTGTAATACCCAATTGATTGTTGGAGGGGAAAATGTACAAATTCAGTTGGCGCCATCGTAATATTCCGTTATTGCATAAACTGTTGATAGGGTGTGACTCTGCTCGAATAAACGCTGGCGCTGATGATCCTGC